CAAATCGTCTAAAAATAGGCAATCAAGCCAGCCTGCTTCATAATGGCTGCTGGGGTGCATTTATTTGTGCAAATGCTTCTCTCCCCCCACCCCCTCCACACTTTCCAAAAACGCGATGAATCAACACTTCCCCCCACCATCTTTTTTTTTTTTTAATTAAAAGGTCAGAAGCTGGGGTGGGGGTTGAAAACACCTCCAGAAAGATGAAAAAAAGAAGAGATCGAAAAAGATGAAAGTTAAAAGACACTGCCTTCCCAAGGGGGGGGCAATGCTTGTTATACTTCTGCCCCTCCCCCGCGTTGCTTCCTCCAACTATCTACAAACACAGGCGCCCCTCCCCCAGCCCTCAATTCCCTTTCCACCAACGCCCTCCCTGCCCTCCCCCCGCGTAATAATCCCTTAAAATATACTTTATGGGCGCCTGAAAGATTTCCTAGCTGCAACTAGATATTTAACTGCGCAGACGGACAAGACAAACATACACATAGGGAAAGGGGGGGAGACACTCTGGTTTCTTACCTTGCAATTGATGGCTTAGTATGGCTCTCCGCCCCCCCTCCTTTTGCAATGGAGGCAAAAGAGGAGGAAAAAGCCCCCCACGCTCACACACATAGAGCTATATTTCATGCAGCTTCCTCCTTCTCTAAGAGGTATAATATATGGATTTGCAATTGCGGGTGCAGCCCAAAGGGGGAAGGGAGAGAAAAAGACTTCAAGTAGCCACCGGGAGGGGGGAATGCAATGTATTCAATTATGACCCGAGTCTGGGTGAGGTGTGTGTGTGGCGGTGCTGCTGGAGGGGGATGGGAAGCGAGGGGGGGTGGGGGAGAATTATAGACCAAGTCCCCAGGAAGGAGGAGGCGATAAAAAAAAAAAGTAATGGTCTGCGTGTGCGTGTATGTGTGAGCGTGTGTGTGTGTGTGTGATTTCGATTGAAGAGGAATTGAGGCAGAATGTAAAAGCTGTTACTAAGGGAAGGAGCCAAAACCGCTCTGAACAGCCAACGGCGCTCAGCAACTGGGGAGAGAGAGGTGGCCAGCCATACAGAAATGAGCAGAGAGAAAGAGAGGCGCTCTTGCACACACCACACACACACACACACGCACGCACGCACACGCGAAAGGAAGGGAGGTGGGCAGGCCTCCTGGCTGGCTCGCTTGCCTTCTTTCGCCTACTTCCTGCAAAAACAAACCAGATCGGATTCAAAGGAGGGTGGAGGCAGGGCGCAGGAACACATCTGGGCTTCGGCGCGGTTCAGGAACCAGCGAACAAAACGTGGAGCCGGGCAAAAATCGGCTGATTTAGGCCGGCGCTAAAATGCAAGACCTGCAAACGGGGGGGGAGAGGAAACTCCTTCCAGCAAGGGGGGCGGGGGGAGGGGAGCGTCTTTCTCTGCTCCTCGGAGTTTCCCTGGAATCGTAGCCAGTCAGTTTAGTGTATTGTTTTTATGATGAGGGTTGGTAGATTAATGGTTTGTTTGGGAGGGGACGGTGGGCGGCCTTCTTGAGCGATGGGCTGAATAGAAAGAAGGGGATAAATCAAGCAAGTTGTACGCTGCTGCCCGGACACACACACACACACACACGTTGCCACTCTCCAAAAAGGGTGTGCTGACCACGAAGAGCGTGGGATTCAGGAATGGGGTGAGAAATGTGGGAACCGGGTCATCCCGCTAAGCCATTATATTGCTTCCTTGGGTAGGTCAGGTCAACTCAGATGTGGGGTGCGTGGCTTCTAATTTGCAAATTGCACAGGGGTGAGTGCCAGTCTAAGGACACTGCTGGGTTCCAAAATGCATCGGTAGAAACCGCGAGCAAACTGATGCACGGGCATTTTCAGGGAGGGGGCAGATCTGTCATGCACGCCTTCCAGGGTCTGCGTGGGAATCTGATCCTGCCCCCACCCCACCCCCAGTGAAAACACAGGAAGGAAGGACCTCATCTGGTTCTCAGCCCTGCCTTAAGCAGGCAACAGTGTAGCCGAAACCCAACCATAGAGCTATGGGGTTTCCTGTGCAATTCACAGGGAAATAGAAAAATCACCCTCTGTTCAAAATGGGGTAAAAACATTAAAATGAGCACAACTGGCACCGGATCCTTATTTTCCACGGAAATCCAGACCACAGGCGTTGGGAATGAAACAACTGGTGAAAATTCTGCATGGGGGAAGGAAAATGGGGGGGGGGTTGCGGGCAGACAGGAAGTTGCATAAGCAAATCAAGTCATTTGCTGCGCTTCAGGTTTGAAACTGAACGCACAGAAAGGAAAGGCGGCCAGCATGTAGGAGAGCAAACAAGGAAAAATAAACATGAGGAAGGAGAGGAGCTGCTAACAGGAGGGACACACCCTGTTGCAAAATGCTCTCAGAAAACCAGCTACATATGGAGGAGAGCACAATTGGGGGTGTGGGTCTCCTTTTGTATCAAACTAGAGCAAAATTGTGGGGAGCAGAGACACTCACATGGGAGAGGAGACTCT